TAGATTGAGAGGGACTTTCTTTTTTTTTTTAATTTTTTATTCATTTTGCATACCACAGTTCCATCTCTCCTTCCCCTCCTCAGAGAGGGTAAGGCCTCTCATGGGAAGTCAAAGCCTGACATGTTCAGTTGAGGCAGGACCAAGACTCTCCCCCTTGCATCGAGGTTGAGCAAGGCATCCCACCGCATGGAATGGGCTCCAATTTGATTTAAGTGTTTTATGGAAAATGTAGTACACAATCCACACACAAAAAGACAAACAAACAAAACACATTAAACAAAAGAAATACTTGACAGCTCGAATTTTCAGTCAGTTAGACGCAACCAAACAGAAGGGAATGAAGAGATTGGCCATTAATTGGCAGTGGGACCTTGGACTGATCTCAAGCTCTCCAGTACTGCGAGTACAGACAAAAGCCTTGTTCTCAGTGCCTGACCCACTTTCTACACCACAGGATCCTCACCCACGGGCTCTGCTTTGACAGGCCATCCACTTACAATAAGTTCTGTGTCCCTGCAACATTGTACCCTCCATTTAGTGCTTCACCAGCGACCCCTTCATGTCTTTTACAGTTCCTCTTCTGCCCAAAGAAGTGTGATCTGACCTTTAAATCCTCACCTGGGGTTGAGGTCTAGGCCTGCAGGTCAGCTCTTACAAGAGTCTTTTCCTTCCAGACTCCGTTCTGGCCTCTGTAACCAGTCTCATGTCTATCGGTGTGAGTTACTCCTTGGGTAGGATTGGTTTTAATCCATCAGCTCAGCAGACTACCGGAGGCCTCATTATCACCAGAAATCCATTACTTCCCCTCTACCTGAACCTCCGTGTGCTTCTGCAGCCTCTCAAAGCCACTTGAACATGTAATCTCCTTTCCTCTCAGTACCTGTCAGTCATGCTGCAGTTAACTAGGCCATCACACTAACGATCTGAGATTATTATATTACCTTGAGAGGCAAGATCCTGTAGAAGTGAAGAAGGTAGATTTTCCAGGGTCAAGCTAACTGAATTAAAAATGAAATTTAGCCCCACCACCTACCATCTAGATGACCTTGTTGATCATGAAAAATCTGATTCTACTCCACCTGTAAGGTAACAAGTTAGTGGGTCACAGTCTCATGGATACTGGCAAGAGATACAAGACTCCTGGATCAGTGACAGAGAATAGTTCATTCCTCACAGGAAGAAAGATAACCAGAGCATCAGCATTTGTGCTGGCCTCTTGCACACAGAACACACTGCATTTCAGGAGACTCCTCAAATGCAAGGCACCCAAATCTACCTCTGTCCAGGGGGAGAGAGAAATCATCTTTATTAATTGCAAACCATTATATAGCAAACATTTCTAATGTCTACTAGGAAGAAGACAGTGTCTCTACCTTCAAAGGGTATTCACTGCAGAAATATCCTTGACAGAGCAGGGCCTCTGTAAAATGTGCTGCCCAGAGAGGGGGGAGGGAGTGGTTCAGGGAGAAGGAGAGGGCCATGAAGAATTACCTCCCCATAACCTTCTATCAGCTCACAAACCTCAGATCTCATTTTAAAAAGGGTAACTATTGGTATAAAGTATCTCCTTGTGAAGGTCAAAGAGATGTGATTCTTACAGAAGTCTGCACGTCATACCTGCCACCCTGAATCATGCCTGCTTCATTGATGAAGGGGCTTCATCTATGTCAGTTTCTACTACAAATGCTATTTCTTGAGTAAGGTGCAAACATGCTTATTGAATTCTTTATAACTTCTAGCAAATACAACATTACAGCTCACTGACATACCTAATGATTTGAGACACAAAACATTAGAACTAAAAACTACCTAAATGTGGTGTCTTAGAGATAAGGAAGTAGATTCAGAGCCTTTAAGTGACTTGTTAAATTCCATACAGAAAAGTCACAAAAAGGACAAAAAACAATGTGGGTTAAAATTCAGATCCTCTTAGGAGCTGGAGAGATGGCTCAGCAGTTCAGAGCACTGACTGCTCTTTCAGAGGACCTGGGTTCAATTCCCAACACCCACATGATGACCCACATTTACCTGTAACTACAGTTCCAGGGGATCTGACACCCTCTTCTGACCTCTCTGGGCACTGGGCATGTACTTGGTATATAGACATACGTGTAGGCTAACACTTATGTTTATGAAATATAACAAATCTAAAAAATGTAAAATTCTAGATGTTTTGAATTACACATAAAGCCTGGGAGAAAGAGCTTAATATTGGCATCACTAACCGAGTGAAGCAAGGTTTTAGAGAATAGTTCATAAATTCACTTGACCACATCTTTCTTCCTACTTGATGGACTTACAAGCCACCTTACACTCACTCCAGAAGGAAAACATAATCAAAACAAATGATGGAGAGTTAAATACGTAATTGTTGAGGTCGGGCTGTGATGTATAAGCTACAGTTGTCTATATTGTATGAAACTGTGTCTTTCCCTGAGCGACTCCATTTTACAATCTGTCTTTGACTCCATCTTGAAGACAGAAGATGTCCCTGCACTTGAATGGAGATGTGAATGGGATCAGCTGCCTGATACCACCCATGAATCATGGAGTGACAAATGACTTATTCTTGGATTAGGGTTAGAGTTAGGGTTAGGGAGCTACCCCATAAACTTATTGTGGTGAACTGAGAATGTGAGAGTCCATGTTGTATTAAAATTTTATCAGGAAAACCAAGCCCAAGAACTTACCAGACATAACAGACCAAGGAAGGAGAGTAATACCCTCACCTAAACCCCATAAAGAGGTAGACTCCATCACTGCAATGGTGAGAGCAACCTGCCATCTGAGCCCCCAGATGTGAACATCAAAGGATGGAAGGAGAACTCCCAAATGCCCCAGGAGCTTCAGCTTAGCTCAGTCGCACTGCTTATGAGGCCTCCTCATAAGCCCTCCCTCTTGTTTATGTACCTAGACCGGCCGTCCATCAATCTACCTGACCTGGTCCTGCCCCTCACTTCACATCATTCCGACAGCCCACCTCTAATTCTGATTCTAACACCAGCAGCTACAGCAGCTTCTGGCTTCTTCCACAGCTCAATTTAGTTTGTTATCAATACAAAGATTCTTAGATCATTATCGGTTTCCCAGCTTTGGCCTCTCAGGCCTCTTGAAACTCTCCCAAATCCCTGCCCTTTTAATCCTCTGGAGCCATTCTGTAACACACACATGCACAAGTGCACATGCAAGTGCGTGCAGCGCACACACACGCGCGCACACACACACACACGCAATCTGTAATATATGACCAGACAGTTCATATTAGTAATTAAGATTGGAATAAAAGAACCTGTAGCCTCTCTGTTCAGGGTTATCAAGGGAAGTTGGAATACCTGGCAGGTGCAGTCATTGGACCCACTGACTTTATGAATGTATTGTTGTTTAGTAAATTCTGGTGTCATGAAAGACACACATGTTGACCTTTGCTTCTAGCACAGTGACCCATAGATACTCCTCTCTACTCTCTGTTATCCACAAAATAGCCACCATCTCCATACCAGGGAAAAAAAAAAAAGGACAAACCAAAGAAAACATGCCCAATCCAAACAGGAAACTACACAGGAATGCGCTCAGCATATAGTTGATGTTGAACCTGGTCCCATTCTGGCCAAAGGCAGGGAAGTGCAGAGGGATACCCAGCAGTTTTATGTGAACCAGTCCCTACTGGCTTATAGGCAAACCTGTGAAAGCATGAGCGGGGAGAGCAAGAAATGGGGAAGGGAAGAAACAGAAACAACATTTGTTTCAAGGAGGCAGCTTGAAGGCTCATTGATGGCATCTATCCATCTGCAAAATAAGTTTGTCAGGTTCTGTGCTTCTTGGCTCCTCTTCTGTAGTTTTTCTTCTTTCAGAGTGCGGTCATAGCTTTAAATATTCTATAGAGATCTGAAATCCCTCTAGGGACTCTAGGCCAGGGGTGTGTGGCTAAGTAGTTGAAGCATGATAATAAATGATAAAGAATGGGAATTGTGCTTTATGTTTTATTTTCCCCCAAGTCACTGTTCACTCCAGGCACATTTCTGGGTATCCCAGAGGTGCTTACAGGTGCTTCTGTGAGGATGTTCTACATAATGAGTGATGCACTCCCCTGCTGGTCACCACTAGAATTGCTCTGTGTGCCTTGGTGCCTTTTCCAGGGGCTCTGGAATGGGGGTGGGGGACAGAGAAACATTGATACAAACAGCCTCATTTCCAATCTGCTTTAGGGAAACCCCAGATAAACATCACTTATTCCTCTTATTCTGTGAAAAGTTAGGGGTTTTTGCAGGAACATCCCATTGGCCTGGAATAAGATGCTCTAGAGACAGGCACAATCCTCAGCCTCTGACCTCCTGTTGAGAAAGATGTTCTCTAGGCCAGGCATTTCTGGGTCTTGTCTTCCCACAGGAGCTGTTTTCTGTCATGGGCTCTGAACCTGTTCTCAAACAAGTTGCTGCAGACCCGTCCCAGTTAGCATTTTTGTCTAATCATATCTACCTGGTAGTTAGTGGATGCAAATGGAGATATTTGACACAAGAGTACCAGGCCTGGAGCCCCTAAGTTCCTACTAGGCCCATCCTAATAGGCATGCTTAAGTCTGGTAGCTGGCAGGCCTTGCTGAGATCCCCTTTGTAGACACAGGATTCACTCCTGCCCTGCCCACCTCTAAGGATGAATGTGAATACATGCTTCGAATTCCAGGGACATTCCAGTTTTTCCCCTTGTTTGGTTTTCCATGCTGGAATACAAGATAAATCAGACATAGTTCCTGTGTTAAAGCTCTTGGGATCTTTTGCTTCACCCACTTTCTGTTTTCATAGATGTGTATTTCCCAGTTAAAGACTGATTTACGCCATCTTACAGCTGACTCTGAAAAATGTGCCCCCTGAAGTTGAGATGGTAGTGTTAACAACTCAATGCGCGGTTCATTTGATTGAACGGGAAGTATAGCATAGGCAGGAAATGTGGGCTTTGGTGTAGGGGTGGATGCTCTAATGTTCTTAATGCTTTCTGTGCCCCAGGTTATGCAGATGTATCTTCCATTCTGTGGAATCGCCATATCTAACGCTCAGCTCTTTGCTGCCTCGAGGAAGGAATATGAAAGAAGCAGGGTGAGTAGAGGGAGATGTTGCAGACCATGCTTCAGGCTCGCTGTCTTCCCAGCTCCTGTGAATCACCCCATCTTTTCAAAGCAGCAGATGCTCTCTGTATAGTCCAGGAATCATTTTTGTTTGTATAATCCTACAATGCCAGGGCTGAAGACCCCTTAATACAATGGGCAGGTTATAGATAAAAGTAAATATAAAGTCTCTGTTATTGTCTCTGGGAAATAGAAGTGGTTTCTTTTAAAATGGAAACTAGTTTCACATCTGTACCGTGTGGTGTCTGGCACAGCCTTGGTGTTTGTAGCTTCAAAACAGCAGCGTTTGTTGATGATTTTACACTTTAGTTCCTTCAAGAAATGTGGTGATATATTGTTTATGATTTATTAAAGCTTGCCTGAGGATTCAGAAAAGCAAAGTGAGCCTCAGGCTATAGAGATCAGGCAGTGGTAATACACACCTTTAATCCCAGCAGACAGAAGCTAGGAGGTGGTGGTTCACACTTTTAATCCTAGGACTCAAGATTAAGAGATAGTTGGATCTCTGTGAGGTCAAGGCCACTCAGATCTACACAAGAGTGAAGCAGTCTAAAAGAGAGTTAGAGCTCACACCTTTAATCCCAACATTAGGGAAGTATATAAGACAAAAGCAAGGTCTTGAGAGGCATTCATCCTCCAGCCACACTGAGGAGAGGCAGCAGTCTGAGACTTGGGGAAGAGCTGGAGTGTGGATCAGCCTGAGCTGGAGGTGAGAGCTAGTGGTCAGCTGCTTTGCTTTCCTGATCATCAGGCAAGATCATAAATAATGTATCACCACAAAGGTACTGAGCTGGGGAAGGACCCGAGAATGTAGGAGCTGCCATTCTTAAACACTGCATCCCATTTAGACCCTGTGCACCTTGAAGTCCTCCACACCAGTGCGTTTTAAAGCAATCTCCGCAAAGAGACATGATGGGCTGCAAACATGATTTCACTCTTTCATGCAGATTTTGTTTGAAAGGTTTTTCTAGAAGAGCAACACAAGGCACATGGGACAATCACACATGGGCTATTTTATAGGATTATCTAGCAGCACAAGAGACAGAGGCAGTGATCTCACACACCTTTGGGAATCAGAGAACCAGGTGGTAAAGTGTACCCAGCAGCTCAGAAAGCATTAAATTAGCAACTAGAGATTAAAGGACATTAAGTTCACCTACATTTAAATACGTGATGATCACTGTTACATATTTAAATGTTACAGCCTAGAAACACACTCTACAAGAAACTTAAAAAAAAAAAAAAGATTAACTCCCTCCGCCATTGATTATAGTCTATTTACTAAGAATTACAATAATGGCTATTTTATAGTAAAAGATGAACGCCACTGACTACACAGCCATTTTCCTTAGGCACAGCACCCTTACCTCTCACCAGGCCTCCTCTTCCTCTTGAGAACCCCAGCTTGCTCATGTCTTCCTTGCATTTGCTGCTCCAGCAATATGCTCCCATGACTTCCATAAAACAACCTGTTTGTTTTCACTTTATTACACTTCCACCCACATTCTCCTCTGCCTTCGATGCCCCTCCTCCCTTCCTACTGCCAGCTGCCCCGTTTACCATTCAGGACCCAGCACAGCTTTTCTCCGTTACTGCTTTTCCTTGTTCTAGTGTGGGTATCCAACACGTTATTATAATATTATATTAATATATATGCAACTGCGCTAGGAATTCCTTAAGGGAAACTTCTTGTCATACTGAGACAGTCTTTACATGCTTTTGTGTGGCACAGTGCATTTATTCATTCAACAAGTATGCATTGTGTGGTTCTCATGAGACACTGTCCTGACATAACTGACTATTCTAGTGGAAACAATAGATAACAGAAAAAAAAAAAAAAAAAAAAAAAAAAAAAAGACAAAAATCACACAGTGCCAGACAGAAAACTAAAGTGAAAGGAAGGGATGGACACTGTTGTGATGGGAGTCGAGTAAGCAGATGTTGATATTTGGAGGCCGTGGGAAGGTATCTATAAGGAGCCGACAGAAGTGGAATGAGATGAGAGACCACATGAAGACCTGGGCAGAGCATGCAGACTACAGACACAGCATGCTAGGGTCCTGTGTTCGTGAATAGGGAGAGTGGAGAGACAGAAGGAGAGGGCGAATAAGAGAATGAAGACAAGGAGGTGAACAGAGGCCAGTGGGCAGGAAGGCCTATGGGCATCTCAGGAACTGCTGATTTTAAGTGTGGTGGAAGGCCACTAGGAGAGTTTGAGCTTATTTCAATTCACTTAAAAAAGAAAACAACCCGGCCTCCTTGGAAACCGCGAAGGGCTGAGAAGAGTGGAATAATGAGAAGGGATCTGAAGGCAGGGGGTGGAGTAAGAAGACAACTGTCAAGAGAAAAGGTAGCTGGCATTAAGGCAGTAAGAAGTGAGAAATTCCCTGCAAATCAGTGGTGATGTGTGCAGGGCTTGCTGATGTGGGGGTGGGGGACAGAGAAGGAGACTTTGGGCTTATACACAAGTTTCTGGACAGCAAATACTTGAATTAAGGACTTAAGCTTGAGGGAGTATAATATTAAGGATGGGGATTATGCAAAGCCAGGAGTCTTGCTGAGGAATTGAGAGAAGAAGAAGAAGGAGAGAGGAAACCCAAGAATCAGCTCAGGAGTAGAACCAGAAGGAGGAGTACCCAGCCATTTCCTACACAGAAGTGACAATTACAAGTCAAGGACCATCCAACCTTGTGAACTATTTCTACAGCCTGTCCTACTGTTTGATCATCCTAGATTCCCTGTCTTTTCTTCCTCTTCTGGAGGTAGCCTTTGTGCTACTGGTAAAACTTTTACCATTCATTAGCAAAGTAGCAATTTTTAATTAGAAAATTTAATTAGAAAGAATAAAATGACTGTAATATGATTTGTCAATTCAAGACTCCAGGGGCATTAGTTCCTCCTGTGAGGGAAATGTTCTTGTGGACAGGTCCCAGAGGCTCTCCATGCAATCATAACAAATTGAAAAGTTAAATAATTGTGCAGTTAATATGATTCATCTGAAGAAATAATCTGAGTGATTACAGTAATGATGTTTTCCCCTAGTAACAGGGAATTTGTTTGTAATTACTCAGACAATTGTCTCTCTTTGAAGAAATTATTTCCCTTATTTTTGAGATTAAAATTAGATCATTTTCCCTGTCTATTTCCTCCCTCCAAACTTGCCCATATATCCCTGTTATGAGCAGTTTTCCCACCAGCCTGGTCCCAGAGTCGCATCAGCCCCACTGTGTCAGATATAAAGCTGTCAGCCTGGTACTAGTGTTTCCTATCAGCTACCTCTGTCTTAAATATTAACACATTTCTATTCAACTAAGTGTTTCCTTGTGGTCTTATCTTACCAGAGAGAGGGTCCGGACCTCTTATCTCCAGTCCCTACATCTTGACTCCTCTCTACTATATCTCCGAGGATCCTCCTTGTCTACAAGTCCCACCTATCTTGCCTTCCTATTTGCGAACAGTGCTTTATTCATAACCAATAAGAGAAACATATTTACAGAATGACATCTCCCAGCATATCCCTTCTTGCTCTCTTTCAAATCCATGGCCTCTATGTTTCATTAATTGTCACATAAGTATACATTTACACACACACACACACACACACACACACTCCTAAATACATGAACATAACCTGCTCAGTCTGTATAATGTTACTTGTATGTCTGTTTTCAGGGCTATGAGGATTAGATAACCAATTGTGTGTTCTTCCCTGGGTAAGAATTGTCCCTCATTTAATGTCTTCGAACATGAACTTTCAGCAGTGACCTCTCACAGCAGTTTGCTGCACTAATGCCAGAGAGGCTGACTTGAGTTAACATGGCATTTGTACCTCACTGTTCCTCTTTGCTTTGGAATTCTGGGGCACTATGGTGCTATTCCACAGGCAGGCGCTTCTTCAGGAGAACAATCCCAAAAGCTCGGCTCCTCCAGGTAGCTGCATCAGCTAGGTTCATTTCTGGGTCCTTTAACTCATCCAAGTGCTTTTTTTTTTTCCTCAAGAGAGTCGGAGAAGAAATTTTGCTTCAAATTATTTCAGGACAAATAAAATTTATTCCTAAAGTCAAAATCAGTCATGCCCTTGGGCTGTTGATCAACACCATGATGAATAGATTTGAATCTGTGGATTCATGGAGTCCTTTTGTGAAAGGTCAGACAGGCAATCAAACATCTTGTTTAATGTTACTGAATAAAGCACAAACCAATTCATTGACCGTGTGATTCCTCGATGGCCCTGAAAGAAGCTTAATTTCTGCCACCTGTAAATAGCCTGCTATTCTGCAAATTCTGGAAAAAAAGTTATTAAAAATCCCAAACAAATATTATTTCAATGCATGGATTGCAAAACTCCTTGGCTAGAGAAAATAATAGGCTACTGTAACTTAATTTTGAAATGAGTACACAGTGTTCAACTTATAATTTAAATTTTTACCTTTAACTTATGTAGCTATCAATCTGCCATCTTAACAGTAGTTTTAATGAATGGTTCCCCCCCCCCCACCGAGATACACAGTTATGTCCAAATGTTTTACTGGACTGTTGGGAGTGAGGCAATATTTCCTCTTCTTGAATGGAGAGAGTGGTGTGAGAATATGTATTTGGATGCTTGGAGCCTTAATTAACATTTACCCATGTTGGTTTTTCAGAATTCTGGGAGAGAAATCTGTGTTGTTCTTTTTGAATCCTGGGAGAGATATGTGTCAGTGAAAATAAGTATCAAGTTTGTGCCACAAAGCTATTTTTTTTTCTTAACGATGAAAAAAGGATTCTTTGCAGTTTTCAGAAATAAATATGTTCTGTAGAGATCCATGTACTTGCCATTTATAAAGTGTCGTTTTGCATTCAGTCATAGTGAAGAAAAACCACTGTGGTGGGTAAATCTCCTGCATGTAGTGACTTCATGATTCCTGTTACACTGACCACCTCCATTCTCTGGGTGTATTTTTTTTTAATTTAAGAGGGCATGATATAAAGTGAATTGCACAGCAATGTGAGAACAACCATAAATGTTTTAAAAAGTTAGACACACAAAATATTTGTTCTTAGAGAAATTACTACATGGAGTTTTGAGGGAAGGCAAAGCCGATTGCTTGTCAGTCCTATACTTCCCGAATAACGAGCATCTCTGTCTCCAGGCTTTGTTGGAGGTGGTCAATGACCTCTTTGAAGAACAGACGGACCTGGAGAAGATTGTCAAGAAAATAATGCATCGGGCCCAAACTCTGTTGAAATGTGAACGCTGTTCGGTTTTACTTCTAGAAGACATTGAATCACCAGTAAGTTACCCTTTGCTTTCCGTGTGGAGTCAAAGACTGGGCAGAAGCAGTTAAGTTTATCAGCAATTAAACTTGCGAGCAGAGTGTTCTTCCAAGAGGGAAAGTTCTCATATACAGGAGGTTTTTTTTTTTTTTTTTTTTTTTTTTTTTTAGGTGTTTCCCTTTTCATCTTATCCTCACCCTGGAAAGTAAACCCTTTAAATGGACGGGAAGCTTAGAGCCGTGTTAGCTCTGTGTATCCAATAGAAGACAGAGCACAGGTGTGCAATGATGCCCCCCCATCACACAGCTACATTAGAGCAGAAGGCAAGCACAGCCTCCACACCCCCATGTCATTTACCCAACACAGGGCAGGCTCCTCTCCAGTGTGCATGGACCCCAGTAAGGGTAATGTCACTTAGCCCTCAGAGGACCAGAGCCTGGGCAGTCCTGGGAGCTTGCTTGGCTGGGCTGTGCTCTGCAGCAGGTGATCTCCCAGGGTGTACAGATTCCCTCCCTGCTGCCAAGCAGAGCAGCCCACACAGAGAAGAAAGTGCCTTGCCTCACCTCGGAGTCTTCTTGTGCTCCAAAGTGGAGAAATGCAGAGGCTCTGGCCTGGCTCATTTTGATGATTTGTGGCCAGATTCTGGGTTTGGTGCAGCCCTTGGGGCTGCTTGGGAGAAATCAATCAAAAAACAAAACAAAAACATTATATTGAAAATAATGGTTATCATCTAGCTAAGTAAGCGCTTCCATGCTAAATGCCTCAACTCCCAGCACAACTTAATACTCACTCCAAAGATCAAGAATTGTCTACCATTTAAGAGCTGTTTTAATACCTCAGAGAGCGGTGTTTGACTATACGGAACTCAGAAAAGGTACTACCTTCACTTTAAGGGTGTTTTCCTCAAAAAATGAGAACCTGAGGTTAAAATTGTAATGAGTATCATAAACTTTGCATAGGTTGTTTAGAATGTGTAGGTGCATATATGTGAAACCTGACAACATGAGTTTGGGTTCTGAGTGTTCACATAGAAACACAAACAAGTATGAATTAACCATAAAGCTTATTAAAGGGCAATAAAGAGGGACACTGAGTGAAATTTTGCCTGAAAAGCTATATAAATGCACTTGAAACAGATTAACTCCTTGGGGGGAAAAAGGCTAAACAAGAGGCAAAGCAAAGAGAGAAAGCTTTGTATAAAGGTGTTTTTAATATATATTTATTTTATATAACCAAGTCCATTTAAATGAAAACAAACATTTATAGACAATATTTGGGAATTTGGGTGTCGTTCTTTCCAAACTACTTCCTGCTGGTAAGGGGCTCTGTCATGTGGGATTCGAAGAAGATGCAGAAATCATGCTGTAGTCTCTAAGGCTGCTTTGTCCAGCTGTTTTGAATGTAGAATCACCTGGTACTCTGTTTCAGGAGGTCTGGCTTGATCAAACCACATTAGTTTGGAAGGAATCCACAGCTTTTCATTTTCTGTGAAAACAAAAATAGAAATCCTTTTCCCCAATAACTTGTCCTGGAACTTAAATTTTGGAGTCAAAGCATTTTTTTAAATTTATTATTTTACATGTCGATCCCAATTTCCTCTCCCTTCCTCCCTCTTTCCCTCCCTCCCTCCCTCACTTTTACCCTCTCTTCCCTCTCACCTGCACTCTAACAACCCTCCCCTCCCACCCCCCCACCCTAATTCCATATGTAGGGGAATACCATCCAGTTGGGGTCATGTAGATCTGACAGGTCATGTGAAGTAGGAACTAGGGCTTCTCTCCTGTCTCTAGATTAAGGCAGTTATCCCTCCATGGGGGATGTGTATGCAAGGACCTTTTGTGCACCAGGGATACATCCTGGCTCCATTGTCTCAGGTCCCTTAGACTGTTCAGTCCTTCTGGCTGAGACCCATATTCAGGGGGGCCTGAGTCAGTCCCATGCTGGCTTCCCAGCTATCAGTCTGGGGGCCCGTTAGCTCCTCCTTGTTCAGGTAAGCTGTCTCTGTGTTTCTGCCACCTGGCCTTGTCCTCTCCATCTGCATCTGGGTTGTACTTCGACTCAGTGTTTAAGTATGGGTGTTTGCTCCTGTTTCCAACAGACATTAGTTGAGGGCTCCATGGATAAGTTAGTTGTTGATCTCACTATCCAGGAAGGGCATTTATGGTAGCCTTTCCACGGAAAACCTAAATCAAACAAGCATCAACTATCAATGGTCCTTACTCACCCTCAACATCAATGGTCTTTACTCACCTATAAAAAGACACAGGCTAACATAATGGATACAAAGACAGAATCCATCCTTCTGCTGCATACAAGAAACACATCTAAGCTTCAAAGATAGACATTACCTCAGGGTAAAGGGTTGGGAAAAGATTTTCCAATCAAATGGAAATAAGAAGCAAGCAGGCGTAGCTATCCTAATATCTAACAAGTTAGACTTCAAACCAAAATTAATCAAAAGAGATGAAGATGGTCATTTCATATTCATCGCAGGAGAAATCCATCAACACAAAGTCTCAGTTCAGAACATCTATGCCTCTAATACAAAGTCACCCACATTCGTAAAAGAAACACTACTAAAACTCAAAGCTCATATAAAACCTCACACACTTATAGTGGGAGACTTCAATACACCACTCTCAACACTAGACAGGACCACAAAGAAACTCAACAAAGAAACAAAAGAATTAACAGAAGTTATGTCTCAACTGGGGTTAACAGACATCTATAGAACATTCCATCCAAAGACAAAAGAATATACCTTCTTTTCTGCTCTGCTTATCTAAAATCAACCACATACTAGGTGACATAACAAACCTCAACAGATACAAGAGAATAGTCTTATCAGACCAACGTGCTTTAAAATTGGAATTCAACAACAACACAAATAGCAGAAAACCAACAAACTCATGGAAACTGAACAATGTGCAATTGCACCACACCTGGGTCAAAGAAGAAATAAAGAAATTAAGGACTTTCTAATATTCAATGAGAATGAGGACACAACATACCCGAACTTATGGGACACCTTGAAAGCAGTGCTACAAGGGAAGTTCATTGTACTAAGTGCCCATATGAAGAAAACAGAGGATAGTCACATAAGATAATTAACAGCCCAACTGAAAGCCTTAGAACAGAGAGAAGTAAACTCACCCTGTAGGAGTAGATGCCAGGAAATAATCAACTTGTATAATGATGTTTGATGAAGCCCCCTCTCAGCCCTACCTAATCCTCTCACAGCCCAATTTCACAGGCGTCTTAGCAAAAAGTTTCAAGAAAGAATTATATCTCTCTCAGGAGGAAATGGTTAAATTCTGGGTTTTTAAGCTCCCAGATGGAGCTTAGAATTGTGTAGTTGTTATTCTAAGACATGAAAAGCAAAGAGGAGGTCAATATTTGGTCAGGAACGTGCTTCTCTTGAAAGACTAGAGCCAGAGTTTAATCTGTGAGACTCACACAAAAAGCCAGGGCTTCTTGCTTGCACTTATAAACTCAGCACTGGGGAGGCAGACAGCCGGATCCTAGGGTCACTGACCAGACAGCCTATCGACAAGCTCCAGGTCAGTGAGAAATCCTGTCTCAAAAAAAAAAAAAAAAAAAAAAAAAAAAAAAAGAATTAAAAAGTAGAAAACAGCATTTGATATTATCCTGTACTCCACATGCATGCACGCACACACGTATGCATACATCAATACCCACATACAAACAAACACTAAAACTCTTCATTTGGAAGATTCAGGGTTTTCTAATCTAAAGGCTAAATGAATCATAAGTAAATGCATAACTAAAAGCAAGAGATTAGAGAAGTAACAGATAAAGCTCTAGGATATCCCACTCTAGAGTCAGACTGTCAGAGAGCAGTATGCATGCTATAGTGGGTCCTCACACTGTCCCCATGCTCCTCAGTCTTCCTCGGGTTATCTCCTAGCTTAGATTGGCCCCAGGTTCAGTCTTCCTTGGGCTGCCCCATATTTAAGTCTCCATACATTAGTATTAGTGGAGGGGCAGCAGGGATGATGGCTAAAATTCCTCAGGTGTATAGTAAGGAAAGAGCAGAGGAGATGCTCGTATTAGTAGAAGCCAAGGGACAGTGAGTACCCTATAGGCTTTCTAAAGACTCTGAGAAGCACAAAAAACAAATGCAATTCCCCAATGCGTAGTAGATGCTAGCAGATGGAAGCCTAACACAGGAAAAAGGCTACTGGCCTGGCTGGAGGATGAGATGCTGCACCCCAGACTATGGGACTAGGAGGACTGTGCTGAGGTCAGCAGAGTGTCACACCCCTTAGCAAGGAAGAGATCTAGGGCAACCATTTCTCTCCAGAGCACCCAGGAAGTGGCAGGTCACATGCTAAAGTTTCCATATCTGAGGAGTGTGAGTCTGAAATTACTGAGAAAACCTGATGGGGTTGAATTTAACCCTGCCATTCTCTTTTGTTTTCTGTCAACATAAGCAGAACTGAGGCTCAAGGAGACACTTAGCTGAGTTATAGAAAACAATGTTAAGTTACTTTTTGTATTGTTGTATCTGTAGCCTTGGAGGTTTGTGATCAATATACAAGTTCCATTCCCTAGTTAATGATTCATCTTGTATTTGATTCACCTAGGCGACAAAGGAAACATTTATAGTCAGGGTTGGAGAATGATGGGTTAGTCTGTAGGTGCTGGCAATTTGGAAAAAATACAGCAGTTTTTTTTTTAAACTAGTTTAAGCCGGTTTTAATTTTATAAGAGACAGACTAATTCATCTCTTATACTAAAAAAGTGGAGGTTCACTTAAGCTCAATTCAGGAAGAAACTGATACATTGTTAAAATATGTCTAAGAAGCATTTGAGAAGACAGAATAAGATTTGGGGGTTTAAACCAAAATTTATTACACAAACTGTGGTCTGAGATTGTCTTTCCCATTGGACAGAAATCTCTTATATCTGTGTGAGAGAGGAAGCCACTTCACTAAAGCTGTGTACCTTCTGCAGTAGTAACCAGTGAGCGCAACTGAGCTTATATTCCCAATAA